GTCCGTGTTTGCTCTGCTCCTATTTTGTATTGTTTTATGGACTTTGATATTGAATACTGTTCGTTATCTCCATATCCTTCTTCCATCACAATTTGTTTATTGCAACTATCCAACGTAATCTGACAAGTGTAAAATGTAAATGCAAGTTTTGCAGATGCTCTATTGTAATTCGTAGACTTGCCATTTGTCAACTTGTGAAATTTAAATTGTACTTTTGTGATTTGTAAATTATTCAAGATTGCAATATGCTAACAACTATTAAGACGAAAGAGGGCACTGTATAGGGATGGTAAGTTAATTTGTTGCTTAACAATTTAATCACTTCCCCAATTCGTACTACCATAAAAAATGTAAAGAAAGGCTGATAAAATGTTAAAAAAATTAATCCATTTCTGCCCTTAAGGTCAAGATCTAGTAAATAACTTTAGACTAATTTTTTTGTGCCAGATCCATTATGACGTCATAATCAATTTCAACTTTCTTTTTCCCGTACTTTACTGTTTTAGCAGAATTATGTAGAAAATAGGGTATTTTCATGACATTCAATTTGAAATCATATGAAAAGTAAACCGGATACCTATATTAAATTTGAAATTGATTTAAAGAAGATGCCATGAACATACTAATTACCGTTTTCTGAGAGACTGTAAGCAATCTGGATACATTTCCTTTGCCGAATATGAAAAACTCCCAAATTCATGACTGGTTTTCTTAATTTTTCATTAGAAATAACAGTTTAAAATACAGTTTTTCATCTTGTTTACCTACAAATTATGCCCCGAAACACTTTATTTGACCAAGCAAAAGTTGTAAAGCATCAATAAAGGAATTTATTTCTCAAGTTTGATAAATCTGTAGGCACCTTTCATTTACTAGATCTTGACCTTAAGATTGTAAATAATAATATATTAGCAGGGGTATACTCTAGTAAAACCTCCCAACATCCTGAATACTGGTAATTTTCGATTTCGACATTTTTAAAAGCCTTATCTGCAGTGTTACAGGCAGATTCAGCAGGAGGGGGTTGGAGAGGTCTGCCCCCTTGGATTTTCAGTTATGAATTTTATACAGTAAAACGATTAAGAAATAACCTTGGCCGTCCTTTTAGGAGTTATGGACCTCTCGTAAATAAGTATATGTTTCATATAAATACGAGAAATGTCGATTAGCCCCCCCCCCCCCCCACTCACACACACAAAAATAGGTATTTTGCGTTTAGTGGACTTTTTTAGTGGACATGACCCCCTCCCCCCTCATTTAGGAAAAAATCCTGGAACTTGAAAATGTATTGACAGACCAATTTACTTCTTTGTAAAGTACATATTAGGTTGCATATACGGAACATTTAAAATTATTTGAAGTTATCATGTGTGTTAAGTAGTTTTCTATCTTTTTTTCTTCAAAACAGATGACTATTTTTGCGTTTATAAATAATCATTAATAGATTTTATAATATTTCGTTAGATTTAAGACTACACACGAATAGAAAGGGGGAATTTCCCCTTTTTGCACCCCTCATTGATTTCGTATACATTAAGCAGATAATTCTACAGAGTCAAACACATTCCAGAAGTTTATGAAGCATTTTTTGTTGGTTTTCATCTGTACATGTACATATATGTTATTCTCAATGCATCCCTGTTGAGACAAATTGAAATTCAGAAATAAGGCTTCCTTGCCTTGGGCCCAACGATCACACAAAAACAGAACATTGGGAAAAAATCTAGTCTTCATATGCGCGAACATTGTAGCATCGTTTTTGAAAAGGGTCACCAAGAACAATAATTGTCACTTTTATCTGAAAAATCCGGGGCTGTGGGTTTGGTATGTTCTTATTTTTTATACAAGTAGACAATTTTTGATCCATAATTATGATGGGTTTTGGTACTTAATTTAGACTAAATTATGTTCGGGAAAAAGCGGGAAGGGGGAACCCCCTCCTTACTACATGCATGGTCTTTAAACTGGACTTTCCGGATCTGAAAACTTCCAAAACTTTGAAACTGAAAAAACTTTCGGTATTAAATGTATATAATGAAGAAAATAAAAAAGACTTTAGACCACCCCCTCCCCGACCCACAAACCACAACACCAACACGAAATAGTTTTTTTTTTTTTTTGCTTGTCGAAGAATTTCTGGTTTGGCCTATTTTTGACTAGAGTGGACCCCGCCCCCAATTAGAAATGTATATACGAAGAGCGAAGATCCAGGAATAATCGTTTTCTGTATTAAACTATTTTATTTGTAAACAACTTCAGAGACCGTTTAAAGGCATAAAATGCATGCCTATTACAAAATGCAGTTGATTTAGGGTATTTTTTTTTTTTAGCTTTGAAGCGAAATAACTTGCCATCCATATAGCTCCTTTTTTCGTTTTTGGTAGGCGTTAATATAATGCAACCTTGCATAATTTACAAAAAGTCTACGAATTACATGTTATCATTGACATAACTTGCATTTACATTTTACACTTTTCAAGTTATGTTGGATAATTTATAATTAAATTTCGATAGAAGAATTGACAAATTTAAAATTATGATTTACAAATTCATGTTTATATGTGTACATTTTAAGAATTACAGAGTTGGAATTTTGAACACGTTGGCTATCAAAATATATACAAAATGGCACATTTATTTATAATTACAATTAATGCATTTACATTGATATTAATGTTTTAGTTTCTTTACCTAGAACTTAGGGAAAGAATAAAATATTTTCAACTGTACATTTTCACTATCATTAGAGCCCCGTCATAACACCGGAACCTCTAAACAAGGGGCCATGAAATTCGAGTAAGGAAGAGACACTCATCCGCATCATAACTATATACTTAGTTCATCTGCTCAATAAACAGGAGCAGGAGGGAAGTTTTTCAAAGAATAAATGCATTATCTCTATATACATGTAATCATAAGACTCCTGCCCTAAAACCAAAACCTCTGTCAAACGGGGCATGAAAATCACAATTTTGAAAGAGAACTCTTCCTTATCATAACTTTGTACATAGTTCATCTTCTAAATAACCAGGAGTAGAGGAGACTTTCAAAAAATGCACTTTTGTTATAGAATCAACAGAGCCCCGCCCTTACACCAGAACCCCTGACCCAGTGGCCATGAAAATCATAATCCTGGAAGAGGTCCTCTTTATCATAACTATGTAATTAGTTCATGGTTGACTGATTGACATCCGGGAGTAAAGAAGATTTTTAAAGATTGCATGAATTTAGTAGTTTTTACCCCATCCTTTAGTTTCGAGGGGATCAGGGACCATGAAATTTACAATTTCCCTTTTACCCATGAAAGTTATATGTCAAAATTGATTAAATTGGTTTAGCAGGCACGTAGCAACGGGGGGGGGGGGGGGGGGCTGGCCCCCCACTTTTTTTTCCCCAACATTACTTTTACTATTGGAAATGTCTATTGAGAGGCTGGTTGCCCCCCCCCCCCACTTTTTACTACAAGCAAATGATATTAAGGAAATGTAGTATTGAATGCTCCAAAAATTGGTACTGAAAAGAGTTGGTGTTGAAAAAAGTTGGTTATATTCGATAAAAAATTGATATAACCGCCTAGTGATTTTGTACAAAATTACATTGAACTTAATCATAGAACAAAATTCTTTCGTTTAAATTACCAAATAACAGCATTGCCATGACTACAGGCAATTGTACACAATAGAAATCTAAAATAGAAAAGAACAAGAAGTCTCTGTCGAGACTGTAGCTCTACTGGTTTGTACTTATAACAAAGGATGAGAAAAGAAGCCATTGCCATCAGACCAAAACTGTAGAAGGAGTAGCGTTTTAAACGAAATTCACAGAAAATTCTATTTTTAGTAACAATGGCAACACTGTTCATCGAAATCAAAAACTGATGCACTATTTTATGTATCTTAGTGTAGTCTACGTGTGTGCCAAGTTATATTGAAATCAGATTAAAACTGTGGAAGGAGTAGTGTTTTCAAGGAATTTCACAGAAAATTCTATTTTTAGTAACCATAGCAACACTGTTCATCAAAATCAAAAACTGATGCACTATTTTATGTACCTTAGTGTAGTCTACTTGTGCGCCAAGTAATATTGAAATCAGACAAAAACTGTAGGAGTAGCGTTTTAAACGAAATTCACAGAAAATTCTATTTTTAGTAACCATGGCAACACCGTTCATCGAAATCAATAACCGATGCATTATTTTATGTACCTTAGTGTAGTCTACTTGTGTGCCAAGTTATATTGAAATCAGATCAAAACTGTAGGAGGAGTAGCATTTTAAAGGAATTTCACAGAAAATTCTATTTTTAGTAACCATGGCAACACCGTTCAGCGAAATCAAAAACCGATGCACTATTTTATGTATCTTAGTGTACTCTACTTGTGTGCCAAGTTATATTGAAATCAGATCAAAACTGTAGGAAGAGTAGCATTTTATGTTCTAATTCGTTTCACGCAAACGAACATAAATTATTTACAATCAAAACAAGAACACTTGTCTATATAGGAATGGAAGCGCTTGCTTTCCAGTATTTATTAGACGTATACATTTACAAAACACAAGTCTTCAATGGTACCGATTCTCTACCTTCCTTCTACAATATATCAAAAAACAATTAATCACACATCACAGTACAAACACATTTTAACACAATGCTTTTATATGTCCTCACTTCACTGATTAACGAGGCTAGGGTGTGGCAGCCACTTTTAGACTATTTTGATCTCCTTTAAAAGAAGAGCTCCATATAAAGATATACAAAAATGGTCAAAATTTAAAATCAAAATTCATGAATTTTTTCTTTGTCAAATGAATGTTGACAGCTAAAGATACCGTATCTAAAAAAATAAGTTAAATCTGGTGGTTAATTTGTGTTTAAATTGTTGACCCCCCAGCCTCCTTAAAAACATAATATAATGCATGTATGAACAAAATTATGCTTCCCTCGCCGCCCAGGAAAAACCATAGATAAAAAACAACATAGATTTATGTTGAAAAAAAAACTATGGAAACCTGTAAGTCCGCAGCAATTGCGAGGTAAACAAAATGAATGGCGGACTCATTCACACAAACTTACGTATATTATAATGTACAATTTATCGACTAGTTTAAGTAAAACCTATGCAAAATAAATGTAAGTTAGAACTATCTGTAAACACAGTTCGACTATATGTAGCTAATATGTACCATTTTACATTAAATTATCTAGAGTAACTAAGCAAATTGTTTCCCATCTTTGACAATTAATCTGTTGTGTACAAAACTTAATTTTCTTGTGATGAAAACAATTTGATCAATCCTTTAAATAAACCTTTTTCTTTCTTTTTTTAAACTTTCTTTATTAAACAAAATACAAGTAAGAGGGTGAAGAAAGAGGGTGGGTGGGTGTGAATGTCGCGAAGCAAAGCCTTCGAATGAGTTAAAAGCGTGATTAAAGTGAATACCTGTTCACCTGTTCTACAGGTATCGGCCTTTAAATACTGACCAATAGCTACTGTCGCTTTTATTAGCACATAATAAACAAAAGCACGTGTTCCTAGTACATATGATAAATTAATTTATGTTCTCATTCGTTTCACTCAAACAAACGTAAATTTTTTACAATCAAAACAAGAACACTTGACAAGTCTATATAGGAATGGAAGCGCTTGCTTGCCAGTATTTCGAACATAAAGAAAGAGGGCTCTGGTTTTTCTACAAGCTCAAGAAGCAGTTAAAATTTAATGTTCATTTATATAAGGAATCTTTGCTAAAATTTTTTGTAAATGTTGATATTTCTTGCATTTTTCTTGATCATACGTGACTGTGTTTAACAATTTCTGGTGGAAACTTTTATTTATTTATTTTTTTTTTTTTAAGTAAAACTAGATATGCAATCTTAACTTATATTTGTCCAAATAAATATAAAGCATTCAAAATTTTTATCCGATTCTTGTGTTGAATATATGTTTGAAACAATGATCCCTTTTAAACAAGTTTTTGCAACAAAACAATCATAGCTTTGACGCTGATACTGGAAATAAAAAAAAAAATAGATCGTACTCACTTTGTTCAGGTCCGATTTGCTTTTTCTATAAATGATAAAGAATAAGTATCATAAAATAACATCGAATCTCCAAACATTATTCGTTCAATTAACACAAACATCCATCTTAAGCTATCAAACATAAGAAACTAAACAAATCATATCGTAGTGTTTTATATTATTGATTTGGATTTCACCATTAGCAAGATTGAACGCATACATATATTTCTTTTATAAATGTATAAGTCTTTAAGATTTTATTTTTCAGACATAACAGATGTTATCAGATGTAAATCATCATAATATGCGCTGTCAATACAGTTGTATTTTCCTTCAATTCACTTAATTGCCTACTAAAATTGACCGTTCAAAAACAAAAACATCAGTATATTCTTTTAACTATATAGAACCACACAATTTATGTCTTATTCTTTTTGGATATAGAATTTGATTTTACCATTTGCCAGACTGAACATGTATTTCTCCTATACATTTATGAGTCTTTAATTATAAACGACATCTTTACATTCTAAACAAAACAAATGACGATTGACTATCTTAAGTAATCATCATAATTTTCGCCGTGAAGCATTTTCCTTCAATTTGCTTGCCGAAAATAAATAAGTTCTGAAAAGCGATTAAAAATTTGCAACAAGCATTTTAGAATAAATACTTGTATAAGTATATCAATTTTTGTATAGCATACACATCGCTGTAAATTATTTGCTGGCTACATCATTCTGTGCACCAGAAATCATCTTGGTAAGCCACTGACAACATACTATTCGACCAGACTTGAACAGGCTGCGACGTGCTACACACCATGCAGGAAAATGTTTAGAACTCCACTGGCTGCGTCAGTACGCACCAGGACTTCCACTGGCTACAACATGCTATGCACCAGGACTTCCACTGGCTACAACATGCTATGCACCAGGACTTCCACTGGCTACAACATGCTATGCACCAGGACTTCCACTGGCTGCAACGTGCTATGCACCAGGACTTCCACTGGCTGCAACGTGCTATGCACCAGGACTTCCACTGGCTGCAACGTGCTATGCACCAGGACTTCCACTGGCTGCAACATGCTATGCACCAGGACTTCCACTGGCTGCAACATGCTATGCACCAGGACTTCCACTGGCTACAACATGCTATGCACCAGGACTTCCACTGGCTGCAACGTGCTATGCACCAGGACTTCCACTGGCTGCAACGTGCTATGCACCAGGACTTCCACTGGCTGCAACATGCTATGCACCAGGACTTCCACTGGCTGCAACATGCTATGCACCAGGACTTCCACTGGCTGCAACGTGCTATGCACCAGGACTTCCACTGGCTGCAACGTGCTATGCACCAGGACTTCCACTGGCTGCAACATGCTATGCACCAGGACTTCCACTGGCTGCAACATGCTATGCACCAGGACTTCCACTGGATGCAACGTGCTGTGCACCAGAAACACCCTGAAAACTCTACTTGCGTCACATACGCACCAACATCAACTTACTTCTCTGGCTGCAACGTGCTATGCACCAAGAACTTATAATATGTTAAATCTACTAAATGAGGCATTCTAAGCGCCAGGATTACTATAAAGATTACTGAGCATTAAATGTTTCTTATATAATGAATAAAACCAACACTTCATAACTGTGCAAAAATATAAAATGAATATTTTATAAACTTCTATTGCAAAATACAATTTAGATCTGTTTTTTACATTATACTATATAAAGAATTTTTCACGTGTAATTTGTTAACGACTTCTAGATCACTATTCATTTTATATTCTGCGACAGTGTGCATGGATATGATTATTGTAAAATTTTAAATTTCTGGAGCCTTTAGAGCGGCATTTCCATGTACATCCGATTTTCTAATTTTTAACGAAGCAGTATTATATATAACACAGATAAAGTATAATCACAACCATTTATTGTTCAATGTAGATACAAATACAGGGATATGAAAAACGTCCCTCATTCAAAATTTATAAATTATTACAATTATTTTCAAAATAAAACTTAAAATAATAATAGTTAAGATATTTCTAATTAGGACGTTCTTGTATTCCAAGAAAAAAATTATATATACAATTTTATGCTTGTATGCTCTAGAAAACTTAGACTGCTATCTATACACTGAATCGAAAAGCTCCTCGACACGCAACAACTTCAACCGACTCATTACTTGTTTTCAAATATTTCATGTCTTTTGAAACAAACTTCAAATTAAATTTTATTTGCGTCGTAGTGTTGATGAGTGAAATCTAGTTTGTTCAAGTCATGTCCAAAATAGAACCAGGATTTTTATTTATCTATTTTTCTATTTTTTATTTATTTATTTACATTCTCCATTTTAGTCTTGTAAAATCATTTTCATTGATATGGCTGATTATAAATATCAATACGTTCACAGTTCAATCTAAATTTGACCGTGAAACTTGAACACAATCAATCGTATTCCATATATTTTACTGAAGTATGTAGTATACGTGGATATTAATCATTAGACCGAAAAAGAGAGTCAACAATATACATGATATAAAATAACATTTCTTAACTGTTTGAAAACTGTTTTAAAATTTTCAATGAGATAAAATCAATCCAGAGCATTTCCCTTCTCTCTCTCATTTAAAGTGGCACAGTGACGCACAAGGGGGAAAATTGACAAATGTAGAATTTTCGCATGACCTCTGTAAATTTTGTTCAAATCCTTAAAGTATTAGGTTTCAGAAAATTACAGGTTTCAGAACCTAAAAATTAAAATTTTATGGGGAAAAATAAAAGTAAAAATAATTTCTGTCTGCCCTAGAACGAAAATATTGCAAAATACCCTGGTACTTCTTCCTTCCTATCATACGCGTGCGCAGAAAAGTGTTTAATAAGTTTCCATAGTTACCATGGTCTCAGGTATCCACGAATGAATATAAGTAAACCAAAAAATTTGATGCAATCTTTTTAAAAAGTTGTTAGAACATATTTCTCACCTTTGCATGCTCCAGTTGAATTTTGTTTACAAGTTTGAGCTAAAAATAAGAGTAGCGTGACCTTGACATATACGAAACAACGAAACGGTTAATACAACCTTTGTTTTCCCGGCACTTGTATTGTGCAGTCAATTCTTGCAGTTGAATTGTCATATCTTCGCATAATTTGCGCAAGTCTTTCTCTGTATGCCACAGAATCTTAAAATTAAGATATGATTTTGACTCACTGTGCCGCTTTAATAATCGTGTTCGTTTGTCATAACGAGAAAATGAAATAATTTCATTTACTAGCAGTAGGCTTTTGTATTTTTTTTCAGAGATTAATAGTATTTAAAATACATCTATCTTATATCTAGAGGATTTATCTAGAGTTTTTGTTGTTTTCCATGTGAAGCTGAGCAAAGAGAATCTGTAAAAATTAAGCTGAATTTTAATCTACCGACCTAATTTAACTTAGTTGTGAAATCGAATCCAAATCAGTCTTTTAGGGTTTGTTTTAAGCACATATGTATATGTACAAATGCAGTATATCGAAGCCTGCTTTAGATTCTAGCTACTCTCTCATAATCATAAGCAAAATCATTATCGAAGTGGTACATGTATTCTGTGTGTTTAAATGTATTCAAAACGTTTTCATTATTAAAAAAACTTAAGTATTATCGAAAATACTTATCTTTTACTTCAATGACCATTATGTACTCTCTGCTTATGGATGTAAAATCTGTTGAACTGTTCAGGCGATTCTGGACCTTTGTATTCCGATGAGCAGTGGAAACTTCTAAGAAGATAGAGACATAGAGACATAGGTGAAATAACTTATCGAAGAGGTATCTTGTCCGTGTTTCCTTTTATTATATACTTTTATTTTTACAATAATAAACGGTTGATAAATGACGCGTTCAAAAACTGTAACCTTAATCATCACCAAAAACTGAAACATTATTTTAAAACTTATCTTCTGCTGCAATGGCCCTTTTGTACTCTGTTTTTGACTGTGAAATCTCGTTTGACTGTTGATGTAACGAATGCTGGACTTCCCGTCTTTTATTGAGCAGTGAAAAGTCATAACTTCAGGTATACATGTACGTATCTAAGGGTTGAGGATTCTCGGTCTGCATGCGCTATTCTGGATACTTTACCACGAGAGGCATGTTTAATGAACCGTCTGTATATTTTCGATGGTAAACTGAATGTTTGAAGAGAATAACTGTCTTTGTCGAATGCAATACCATATAAACTTTGGTAGACTGGTTGTAGAATCGACTCTTTCCAAACAGGGATGGGCCTGTCTCCTTACAATTTTTGTCATTAGGAAGTATACGTCTGAATGTCGCAACGCAAAGCCTTCGAATGAGTTAAAAAGCGTGATTAAATTGAATACCTGTTCACCTGCAGGCAAGTTCATGAACATATCTTAGGATTAAGACGTGTCCTAAGAACGTCTTAGGAAACGTCTTAATCCTAAGTAAGTTTCTTGAAGCTTTCCTAAATTTAGGGTCTTGCCATAAGATTGTCTTAACTTTAAGGCAGCCTAAACCATATCCTAAGACCATCCTAACTGACATAAACATGGCGGCGGCCATGATATTTTTGCACATAGCTCACAGGAATCGTGAAAGAGTATTCAGAGACATTGATAACCCTTTGGATTATTTGAACGATGATGCTATCGTTAGTAAGTACAGACTCTTTCATCCTCTGATCATCCATTTATGTAACACTTTCCATGATAGACTTCAAAGACCTACTGCAAGATCACGTGCATTGACAGTTTCTTTGCAAGTTATGATTGCCTTAAGATTTTGCAACGGGCAGTTTCCAGGCTGTGGTAGGGGATGTTCACAATATATCTAGAGCCAGTGTAAGCCGTGTCATAAGCGACATGAATGACTGCCTATTAGAGATTTCTCGAGAGAACATTGTTATGCCAGTTGACCAGCAAAGCCTACTCAAGACAATGCTTGACTTTAGTAAGATTTCTAATTTCCCAAATACAGTAGGCGCTATTGATGGGACACATATACGTATAAAATCACCATCTGCAGATGAACATGTATATGTCAATAGAAAAGGTTATCATTCGATCAATGTCCAAGGTGTATGTGATAGTAACTTGATTTTTTTAAATGTAGTAGCCAAGTGGCCAGGTGGAACACATGATTCGTACATATGGAGGAACTCTTCAATACATAATCTATTTGAAAGTGGTACAATTTCAGATGGGTGGTTACTTGGGGATAGTGGATATCCACTGCGTCCTTGGCTTCTGACCCCTGTACTTAATCCAACTACAGACGCACAAGAGAGATACAATGCAGCTCACATACGCACAAGGAATGTTATTGAACGGGCCTTTGGTGTTTTGAAATCAAGATTTCGATGCCTAGATAATAGCGCAGGAGCTCTTATATACAGTCCACAGAAGGCTTGTGATATTACAGTAGCCTGTGTAGTTCTTCACAACATGTGTATAAGACGAAGAATACCATTACCAGATGGGGTTGTTCCTTGTGACAATGGAAGAATTCGTGTGAATTACAGAGGAAGGTGTAACGACGGTACAAGAGTGCGTGAACAACTGATAGCTGGACGATTTTCGGTGTAAATACATGTGTGCATGATGTACCATTTCATTTACCATATGACTTAAAGTACATCAAATTAATAATTGACAAAAATAAATTTTTTAAAAGCACAATTTATGTCACATGACCCCAAGTATCAAGCGTTTTTTTCTAACCAAATATATTTTTTTAATTTGATAAGGATCGACCAAAGTCACTCATTTGAGTATTGTGGCCCATGGGCCTATCGTTTAAGGATAACGTAGCTCGTTATTGTTGTTTGAATTATTATATTTATTTTTATTTATTTAAATCATTATTATCTTGAAATGTAAATGAAACACCATGTTTTGCCAAATAAACTTGGTGGTGTTGAACCTCCATTTGGAAACGTTGCCTGTCCATGATCAGTCTTTCTTCCTCTATGGCAAGTCGTCTCCTTTTAATTTCAAGATTTTCCAAGGCAATCTCTACCTTTTTCTTTTCTGTTTGTAGAAGTTCACTCATATGTTCATGGTCCTCTGATGAGCGCGTCTTTTTCCTTTTCCCAGGATCTTTTCCTGCGAGTGCTGGGAGTCAGAATCTTAGAAGATATAAATATATATAATATGACAAAGGATGAAAGCCCTAGATTCAAATGTTCAAAAGTCATTGCTAAGGTTGAAGTGTGGTAATAAAATATATAATTTAATACGGATATTTTTTAAAGCTTTCCTTAAAAAAAATAATACTTCTTACCATAACTGTGAGTAATTTGAATTTGGGCCGTATCAGTGGCCGATGATGTAGAAGCTGGGGGTTTTTCTTCAAGAAGAAACAATTTAGGTATATTAAAACAGTACACTGTTACTTAACATTCAATTAAGGGAGTTTATACATTGCACATCAAAGAGTTCCATTTCAAACTACATAAAAATTCCGTTGCAGATTTATGTAAGTACATGTATGTAATGTTCTGTCCTTTTCATTCAAAAATGTACAGAAAATGTCAAAGTTTAAAATTCAATTGAAGTTTATGTTCCATTGTATTAGACGACGACAATCAATTGAATATATTATGTGCAACAAACATTTAGAGTTTCCTTTACTGTTTTATCATATTCAAAAGAATAAACTGCTTTTAAGAAAAATACAAACCATACCCGAGCTCAAAATGTTTCCTTCATTGGACCTTGCAGTGTCATGGCCACCCGGTATTCCATCTATAGGCAAGTTTCCTATGATGCCAACTACTCTGTCCTGCAAGGCATCTAATTCAATGGGTGGTGGACCACCTCCTGTTTTTGCAGACTCTCTGCGTTGTTGCGATGCCTTTTTCTTCGCGTCGCTGGTGTAAGATGACCACTTTTTTCTTATCTCCTCAATAGTCCTCGTATGAGAGGAGGAATTGCAAGAATTTATCTTTTCACAGATGCTTTCCCAAGCCCTCTTCTTTGCGGCATTTGTCACAATATTTGATAACTTGCAAAAAATTACTTCTTTATTTCTTTCCACTTCGTCTAGAAGAACCTGAATTTCCGTACTAGAAAAATTTGGGTTTCTTTTCTTACTCATGGTCGATGACACAATGCGACTCTTCACAAAAAAAATTATACTGGTTTGGATTGTGTTTGCCCAATAGTGATTATTACTCACTTATTTATATCTGTGACCTTGACATGATTAGGTCGAGGTATACTGTAAAGTTTTTAAATCAAGGATGTATAAGAGAGAATCCGGATTGGCTCAGGGGTTTAAGCGTGGCATTTAAAAATCTATATGTAGACGATGATACCCGTATTACGAGTTCGAGCCCTACGGAATCCTTTCATTTTTCTCCATTTTATTTTTATTTTTTTCTGTGTGTATTATAAAATATAATATGTAATTCATTATTATAAGTATTCATAAATATGGATGACTTTATTATAAATCTACATTTAAATTTACCTTTTCTAAGGTCAGGTCGTTGAAAAAATATTATTTTAGCTGCAAATATATAGAAAATATGAAGAAACTAAAAGGGTCTTTGTAGGTTAGGATATCCTAACTTAAGATGTTCCTAAGATACCGTCGAGTTACGTCTTAAGACGTGTCCTAAGTTGTTCTTAGGATCTTCTTAATTTCTTTCTTAAGTTATATCTTAAGAATAATCTTACGATATATCTTAGGAAAGTTTCATGAACATGCCTGCTGTTCTACAGGTATCGGCCTTTAAACCAATAACTACTGTCGCTTTTATTAGCACATAATAAACAAAGGCACGTGTTCCTAGTACATATGATAAATTAATTTAAAGGAATTTCATAGAAAATTCTATTTTTAGTAACCATGCCAACACCATTCATCGAAATCAAAAACCGATGCACTATTTTATGTATCTTAGTGTAGTCTACTGTGTGCCAAGTTATATTAAAATCAGATCAAAACTGTAGGAGGAGTAGCGTTTTGAAAAATTGTTTACAGACAGACGGACGGACGACGGACACCTTACTATCGCATAAGCTCTTCTGGTCTCTGACCAGTAGAGCTAAAAATGTGTTTGTGAAACACTCTGCCCCGATGGTGACTGTAATACACTAAATTTAATCCCTTTAGTTACCCCTTTTGTGTGAGTGTAAATACTGGTCTCTATCCTATGGGGAGTCACTCGATTAGCTATTTTATCTACCTGAGCTCAAAAGTACATCAACAGATCAACTATTTACGGGAATGAAAATGCAATTTGTAAAATATGTTTTTCTTGTTAGAATATACACATTCAGTATGGTTGTTTTACTATATTTTCCCCCTAGATCCTAGTTCCTTGGTCTTTTGCCCCGCTTCTATATGACACAGGCCTTGGACAGGGTACGTAGATTCCATTGAAACAATAGCCAGTCAACATGCACTGTGTTTTCTTTAAGTTCATCGTAAGCTTATTACTTTCCTTCCATTTCATAGAATTTAAAAGATCATCGCGCATCCTTAGTTGAATAACATCAATAGATTTATGTGACACAAGCCTTGGGCGGGGTACGTTCAATAAGGTTTTCCCTAATTTCCGATCATGACATGGAGCACACGCCGGGCGTGACCGGTCGGCAGGGGGTGCTCACTCCTCCATGGCACCTGATTCCACACCCGAGGTTTTGGAGGTCCATGTTTTCTCTGCTCCTATTTTGTATTGTTTTATGGACTTTTGATCTTGAATACTGTTCGTTATCTCCATATGTTTCAGTTTCACCTATTCTGTCTACTTTTGAAACAAATTGGTGAAGGCATACTTTAAGAGAGTGAAAAAACTGGGAGAAAAGGGGTAAATATAGCAATATCCCTTTTAAAATAATTATATGCACTTTAATTTTTTTAATATTCGTCATTTCAATACATGTGTAATAACATTTACTCTATGTGTAGAACAATTTATTTCATACGTGTTGGAGATACAGCCCATTAGATAAACTTATGCTTTATCAACGGGTAGATGCTTATCAATAGCACTTCCGGTTTTGACACGATCCCACGCTTCAAGATTTTATTTTATTGAAACTTTTATTTGTGAAAATTATTGCACCAATAAAATGAATGATAAAGAGCGATAATATCGTTAAAAGCAAGAAAAAGACTCGTATATGTCAAAGAAGTATCTTATTTTATCAAGGAACCCGTATTGGCTACTTGAAGACAGATGTTACCCCCCCTTTAAATCGTTTTCGGAGAAAGTCAAGCTAGCCTAGCAGTTAAGTTATTGTTATAAGATTCCTTAAACATCTTCAATAATGCTTTCTTATATTATACTACGTATGCCTACCTAGTAATGTAGGTGTAACTTACCATGGATCAACAATGAATCTACAAGTAGCCTAGCCTTGCCTAGCACGTTTTGTACTGCAATCGTCTACAGAGTTAATTTTCACGATCCCATGGTCCTTACAACTTTCAGTCAGAAGTTCGTTTGGTATAAAGTCCCAGCAATTGACACATAATGTTTTCAAAGACGCAGATAGCAAATATTCTAAATTTTGAACACGATCTACTTTCTTTCGAGGTATGTCAACATCAACGGTACTACGTCATCAAGTTATACGTCATCAATCTGTATTTGCAATCATTCATGTAGGGTATATTCGGGTAATTCCGGACAGCGGGTAATTCCGGACAGAAATAAAATGCCTCTGTTTTATGTTATCGTCAATGAAAATCGTCTTATTTTCTCTGAATTGTGTGTATCATTTTGGAAAATAAAACCTTTATTCTTGTTTATCATATTCATTTATAATCAAAGGGAATTCCCGATTATTTAGCATGACGTCAATAAAATGACCTTTGCACTTTCTGTTTTGTTGTTGTTGTAGATTTGCGGGAATATTCAACTTGCCTACACCAGAGACCAGAGTGAAAAAACTACGAAACAAGTAAGTATTAAATGAAAATATTTTAATAACTGTAAAATTTTAGTTCTAAAGAAGTTAAACATCGAAAAAATTTATGTGATATTATATTTTTATGCCAAATTTTAACTTGAAATGAAAAAAATTAATTGTCCGGATTTACCCTACCAAAAAAAATTAAGTGAGGGTAATTGCGGACATAGTTATATTGTGTTCTTTTAGCAGTTCTATGTTTTTTATTTTCATCTGCTGTAGGCCTACATTAAATCTACAAGATTACGAAATTCTAAGCTAGGCCTATTGAATGAGTTGTTTACATAATATCATACATACTAAATTAATTTCAAGAATGTATTATGCTGTATGCTACAGAGACTCATGCAGAGTCACGCACTGGGGAAAAGGGTTGCTGCAGAACTGTTGCTCTCCGAAAAAAAAAATCGGCCTATTGACTGACCGGAGTATGTTTTTGTTTTTCGTATAGCTACAGTTCTGCAGCTAGGGAAAAGTTGTGAGGGGGCTCTCAAACTAAAATTCGCGGGCACAGATAAAGAATTTTAAAAGCTTTCATAAATCATCAACTCGTGTGTGCGCAAGGGTGGATGGGTGATGTCCGTTCCAGTTATCTACAATCTACCAAAAAAAAAAACCAGAAGTCTCTGTCGAGACTGTAGCTCGACTGGTTTTTACTTATCAAAAACCACTGCACTATTTTAAGTTTCTTTGTGTAGTCTACTTGTGTGCCAACTTATTTAATTTGAAATCAAACTAAACTGTATAAGGAGTAGCGTTTTAAAGGAATTTCACGGAAAATTCTATTTCTAGTAACCTAGGCAACACCATTCATTGAAATCAAAAACTTATGCACTGTTCTTTGTATCTTAGTGTAGTCTACTTATGTGCCAAGTTATATTGAAATCAGCTAGACCAAAACTGTAGAAGGAGTAGCATTTCAAAGGAATTTCACAGAAAATTCTATTTTTAGTAACCATGGCAACACCGTTCATCGAAATCAAAAACCGATGCACTATTCTATTTATCTTACTTTAGTCTACTTGTGTGCAAAGTTAAATTGAAATCAGACCAAAACTGTAGAAGGAGTAGCATTTCAAAGGAATTTCACAGAAAATTCTATTTTTAGTAACCATGGCAACACCGTTCATTGAAATCAAAAACCGATGCACTATTCTATTTATCTTACTTTAGTCTACTTGTGTGCCAAGTTAAATTGAAATCAGACCAAAACTGTAGAAGGAGTAGTGTTTTAAAGGAATTTCACAGAGAATTCTATTTTTAGTAACCATGGCAACACCGTTCACCAAAATCAAAACCGATGCACTATTCTATGTATCTTAGTATAGTCTACTTGTGTGCCAAGTTATATTGAAATCAGACCAAAACTGTAGAAGGAGTAGCGTTTTAAAGGAATTTCACAGAAAATTCTATTTTTAGTAACCATGGCAACACCGTTCATTGAAATAAAAAACTGATGCACTATTCTATGTATCTTACTGTAGTTTACTTGTGTGCTAAGTTTAATTGAAATCAGACCAAAACTGTAGAAGGAGTAGCGTTTTAAAGGAATTTCACAGAAAATTCTATTTTTAGTAACCATGGCAACAACGTTCACCGAAATCAAAAACCGAAGCACTAAGTTATGTATAATCTACTTGTGTGCCAAGTTACATTGAAATCAGACCAAAACTTTATCATTTTAAATGAATTTCAAAGACAATTCTATTTTCAGTTACCATCGCAACATCGTTTAAGGAAATATCCAAATCCCTTTCACTTAATTATGTACATTTATGTTGTCTGCTTGTGTGCTGTTATATTGAAATCAAACCTAAACTATAGGAGGCGTATTCGTAGTGTTTTAAAGGAATTTCAAAGAAACCATTGCAACATCGTCCATCGGAATCAAAAACCGATGCATTAATTAATGTAACTTACTTTAGTCTAATTGTTGCCAAGTAATATTGAAATCACATCAAAACGGTAAGTGGAATAGCGTTTTAAAGAATTTCACAGACATTTCTTTTTTAGTAACCATGGCAACAACGTTCACCGAAATCAAAAACCGATACACAGAATTATGTATCTTAGTGTAGTCTACTTCTGTGCCAAGTTATATTGAAATCAGTACCATAATTGTAGGAGGATTAGCATTTTGAAAAATTATTTACAGACAGACGGACGGAC